CGTCCTGAGTGACGCGGCGGTGTACGAGTCCCTGGAGTCGGCGGGGGTGTACGGCAGCGTGGGGACCCCGAGTCCTGCGGAGAACCGCTCGCTCCGCTGCAGCTCCGGCTCCACCAGCAGCGTCCAGAGCACCACAGAGGAAGAGCCGCTGTACAGCCGCCTGCAGAGGCCCGACGCCGCCCCCCCCACGGACAGGAAGCTGAGGGTCCGCCCCGTCAGCGAGCTCTTCTCCAGCACCAAGACCAACCTCACCCGCAGCGCCAGCACCCGCAGCTACCTGAGGGGGGGGGGCAGCACGGCGGGGGAGAAGCAGGGAGGGTTCACCCAGAGGAAACCCAAGCAGAAGAGCTTCCGCAGGACACTCCTCAAGTTTATCCCGGGTCTGAACCGGCCTCTGGAGGAGGAGGAGAGCAAGCTGTGACCCCCCACTGTTTCCAGATCCTCCGACACCACGTGGTGCAGCAGGTCTGTCCTTCTGAGCCGCCTGACACTGAACCAAAGAGAGGACACTGCAGCTGTACATACTTGTCCCTTTCCAGAAGAATAAGGAATTGCATTATGGGTTTCCAGATCTTTCTACACCATAAGGATGCAGCAGGAAGAATAAACAGTTGCATTATGGGACATGTGTGGACGGTGTTTAGGACTGAAGTCTGTCTCTGCGTCCCCCTGACCCAAAGAGAGGAGAGACCAAAGACTGCAGCTGTACATAGCTTTTTGTTCTTTAAGTTATTTAATTTATTGTCTTCGTCATGTACAGATTTTTTTTACTGCGTCTTTTATTGTGAGCAGATTCTACGTTTTTCTAAGAGTTCAAATCGTCTTTAGATTCAATCATCGTTTCCTGAAAATAAAAAAATGTGTCATTTTCCAGAACGAGCGCTGGTTGTTTTGTGCGGGAGAAGCTGTTTTTGTTGCCACAACAGTTAGTGGGAACCGGCGCTGCCAAACTCTCAATGTGTTTGTGATTTCCTCCGACGTGTGTCCTCCTCCATGTGAGTCCTCTTCTTCTTTTAAATATAGCAGCTGCTCACACTCGAGTTCTGGAGGTTAGCGTCTGGTCTCGGCTGCTCGGAGGCTCTTTGTGGTGGAGGTGTGCAGAAAGGAGCCCGTTGTATCGGCTCTGACACGCAGTATTGTTTCAGCGCAGAGAGGAATGTGCCGAGAAAGGCTTGACCCGAAATACCAAACACGACCGCTCTCTCTTGTGTGTGTGTGTGTGTGTGTGTGTGTGTGTGTTGACCCTGTGAATCATTCTCTCCCTCCTTTTGTTCTGTCATATGCCCTTCTCTCTTTCTCTCATCTGTCTCCCCCTCCATACCTCCTG